GATGTGCTGCCTTGGTAACCGTCTATCGGGTCGCTATGAGCCAGAACTGACTCCACAGCACACCACCACCACCACCATCACCACCATCACCACCATCAACACATAAAATACACTCAGACTACCTGGCACATCACAGGTGCTCTATAAAGGCCCCTCTTCCCAAACAGAATTTCTGACTTTTAGCCAAAATCTTACTGGGCAGTTTGGCTTTTTCAGACTGGCTCAGAAACTTCACTAAGGCCGGATTAAAACACATCTCTCTCAAGGTGATAGCCCTCATGTCTTGTATATAAAGGAAATGCATGCATCATAGCCATGTGGTGCGTCAGTCTTGCTTCAAACAGGAAGAAAAGTGTAAGAAGTGGGGAAAAAAAACAGCAGTTCTGGAAACTAGAAACTGGACCGTAACTCACTTAGCCTTGTCTTTGATGTGCGTGCTTACATGTCTTCATTAAGTTGTTCCATGTGTAATATTTATACATGTCTGTATATTCACTTATATATACACATAGTCAGAAGTTGTTGTTATTGAGTGCCACCGAGTCGATTCTAACCCATAGCGACCCTGTATAGGGATTCTGAAGAGCAGCTGGTGAGCTTGAAGCTCTGACCTTGCAATTCAAATGGCTTTGCAGTGTGGTGCATTAACTCACAGCGCCACACCAGGACTCCAGAAGTAGATATATTTTTATACATAGAATAATAATAGGAGTCCTGGTGTGGTGCTGTGAGCTAATAGATCAGACTGTAAAGTCATTTTAACAGCAAGGTCGTCGGTGGTTCAAGCTCACCAGCTGCTCCTCGGAAACCCTATACAGGGTTGCTATGGGTCTGAATTGACTCAACGGCACTAACAACAACAACAACAACACACACATAATGACACCCTAAATAAGTTACTAGTGACACCCCTAATGTGTCTTTAGAAAATTAACTCATGGGATAAGCAATAATATACGGACTATAAACTGCTAACCTCAAGGTCAGCAGTTCGAAACTACCAATGGTTCCACGGGAGAAAGATGAGGCTTTTTGCTCCTGTAAAGATTTACAGCCTCGAAAACCCCGTGCAGGGTCACTATGAGTCGGAACCGACTCCACGATACTTAACAACAACAATAAGCATCCTTGCATGTTGGCAGATGACCATGCTGCCCATTCCCCTGCCCCCACCCCAAGAATGGAGAAAGGGATTAACACAATAGCAGAAAAATGTACTAATCAAATTCATAATCAACTTGATGATGGAGCAAGGTCTCTAATCAAAACACAGTGGGGCAACATTGCAACAGGTTGGACACTTGGAGCTGCACTCTCTTCCCAGAGGCCTTGTGCTTGCTGCTTTTAAACATCCAACACATCCACAGAGGATTTCAATCACTTCTAATTACTTTTTTTGAAGAAATGAGTTGTAAGCTGAGCACCAGGCCCTAAAAGCAGGAAGCAGTAAGTATTATATACATTTCTCCCCCTGCAACTGCTTCGTTAAAATAGTGGATAGCTTCCCCTCAAACAGCCCACAAGCATTCCTTATCTTAAGGGCGGCGAGGCAGGATTTCTGAGCTAACACAGAGCATGTCTCTTAAACAAATCTTTGTACATGGTCATCATTAATATAACATGTGAACAGAGTAGACGTTGTAAATGCTCATTTTGTGGGGAAGGCCCAGGTATTCCAGGATCAGGAAGGTAATTCAGGAGGGATATGCTACTGCAAAGCACTGTTTCCTCCACTGGGGGTCAAGACTCAGCGGTGGGTGTGGGGCAGATTCAAGGTGAAGCTCTTGGGGAGTGACAATGGGGTTGTACTAGCAGCTATTTGTTGATAAGTTCAGTCATTTAACACTTTATGGAGATGGGAAGCAGGGGTGAAGGGGCCGCCATTGGCTAAAGAACATTTTGCATAATAGCACTAGGTGTGTGAGCCACCTCCTTTCTCCTGTAACAACCATGTTGTTCAAGTTCACCAGGTACTCCCTAGAAACCATAGAAAGAGTTGCTATGAGTCGGAACTTAACAACAACAACAACAACGCTGATAATAATACCCACTTTCATTTCCTCACAACCACTTGCATATTTGTAATTCATGTCCACCAGGAAGCCAGCATGCAAATCCAGTCTTTTGACTGTAGTCAAAACTGTGACCTCCAGTCACAGTTTGTTTAAAGCCATTCAGCTTGTAGTGTTTTGTTATGGCAGCTATAGAAACAAACAGAGTTGTTAACCCTCTTTGTTGCCCCTCTCAGTAAAATGGGGATAACTCTTAACTTATAAAGATAATATGAGTCATTTAATAAAAATCCTTAGAACAAACCATGGCCCGTAGTACTATGTATTTAACATTACTACTTTACTAGATTGCTGGTGATACAGGAAATGGAGGTAGCACGCCTGCTTTTTGGGGGCTACATGAAGAGGAAATGAGGTCATATATGTAAAGAACTAGGTAGTATTTGTAAAGATGAAGGAACATAGTCTTGTCTTTCCCTCATCTTCCCCGTGTGGCTGGCACTGTACTAAGCACAGAGTGGATCTCTATAAATCCTTGTGGGCCAATTGACACTTCAGCAATTAGAGAGACGAATCCATGTAGTTTCTCACTTAGAGACTCTTAGGTCTAGGTTTAATGGGCCTGAACTTTTGGGTTAACAACACAAATGATTAACTTGATTATTATTTCTTATTTGCTAGACACTACACTCAACACTTCACAAAATCTTTGTGGTTGTTTGTGCCCATTTTTACAGATGGGAACACAGTGGATCAGAGATAATCAGCTAGGTTGGCAAATAGCAGAGACAGCACATCACCAATACTCATATGATTTTAAAGCTTGTGCTTTAACCACTGCACAAACAACCACCTGCTAAACATCCACTGAGTAAAAAGGGAGATCATGACCCTGAGACATCATTTGCCATTTAACTCATCATTTACTGAATATCCTCTAATGCTATGTATATCAGCTTTGGGGGCCCGAGAACTACCAGATTTCAAGGCTGAAGGCTGGAGTGGGCACCCTGTCAGTCAGAGTGGGGGTTATCTAAAGTAGGCAAAGTGTGATACCAGGATGGGGATGTGAGGAGGACAAGACTCAGCCCCTGCCACTGGAAAGAAGCCTGAGGAATCCTGCACACTGAGGAGAAGACAGACGGCAAAAACCAGGATAGTCCTTCGGTCAGTTCCCAAGACCCACTAAAGGCAAGAGACATGGAACTGGGAGAATTCTAGGAATTGTGGACCAAGGGTAAGGGAGATAATAGGAACATGCCAGCCCTTCAGAGGAGACTGACCAACTATCCTTCCAGAGCCAACTCTGATGATGTTAGTTAAATGGAGGGTCAGTTGGGCTATTTGGATATGAACAATCTTGACCTTTACTTTCCCTCTCATTCCTGACATCCTCCTCAGCATCTCGAGAGTGTGTGTCACATCCTGAGTCACCATTCCGGTCTCACATGCACCACCCACCCACCTCTGAAGCCAGCCACACCTCAGAGGATGACCGGGAACCCTGCCTGCAGCAGTGTACCCCAGCGTTCATTGCCATTTCAGAGCCCACTGGACAAGTGCTTGTGGCTTACAAAAGACAGCAGAGCACACAATTCTGTAGAGACAGGCCCCGGGAGCACTGGAGGAAATCTTCCTTCCTCTCACACGCCATCACTCAAGCCTGTCAGCTTCCAAAAATGTTTAGCAAGTGCAGCAGCAAGGGGCTTGCTTATCAATTTGGTGTGGGAACTTAATCTGCTTTGAGGGCCTTCTCCAGCCCAGAGTTCCAGAAGTCTGCTTACAATTAGCCTCCAGCTCCAGGCCCTCCACCAGCAAGGCTCGGAATGTGTTGAGCTCTAGCCTCGGATCAGAGAAAACTCCAGGATAAGGTAGAGGGAGACCGTGTCAGTAGAGACATGCATACCAGAAAGGCCAGCTGGTCTGTTGCCACTACTCAGACACCAGCCCCCTCTATCCCCAGCCCCCTCTTTGGCTTTCCCGCGTCGCGTCTCCTGACCGGGGACAGTCACATCCGTCAGGTCTCCCTGTCCCCAAAAGTCCCTGTCGAGCACCTGCCAAGAAAATACAACACATGCCCTCATTCCCTCCTACCAGAACCCGGAAAAAAGCAGCCGGGAGGGCAGGAGGCCAAGAGAACCCGATTGGCCCTTGCTGATTTCCTTAAAAGAGATTGCCTGGCCAGAGTCTGTAGCCCAGTCGAATTGGTGCTGCGGGATCTGTCTGGTAAGGTAGGAGTCATTATCTCCCTTCAAACCATTCCCCCCACCTCCCACCCCGTATACGCCCCCCCCCTTCACCTCGCAGCACCACGATCTACCACCCAGGAAGGAGGGGCTTAGCTGTCTCAGAATGGCGGCCACCCCCACCCCCACCGCCAGCCAAGACACTAGCAGTCTCCAGCTGCCTGTCAGCTGGTGTATGGATCCTTCCTGCGGCAGGCCCAGAATCCTGACAGCCTGGGGAGTGGGCAGGAGCAGGTCCACCGCCTCCCCTAGGCCCTCTTGCCTGAATCTTACAGGCAGGTTGCGGATGGAGGGAAAGGGAGAGGAAGGCGTCGAACCCAACGGGATAAGAGCAAGCCACCGGGCCTCAGACCATTCACCGGCAAGGACAGACCTCTGCGGAACTGACAGGCATACACACTGCCTTCTTGGAGTCAAGTCTGCAAACATGCAGGACCGGACCTTGTCAGTGGGGCACACATTTCTGGAGAACAGCCCGGCGGTGTCCACTAGAATGCAGCCACAGGCGTGGTCACGCCGCGGATCTCAAAAAGCTGTTCAGGCAAACCTAGAACACCAGAGCCACACCCACGGGCCGGCCCACTCTAGTCGGGCATCCCCAAACCTTTCGACTCTAAGGAAAGGGATCCCCTCCCCACCACAAGTAGCCCTTTCCCCAGTCTAGCTGTGCCATTCACCTGTCCACCCCCAAAGTATCCGTCCACCCTCGTGGATAAGTGCCCCAGCACGCAGCGCCTCTCACCTGGGTATCGAACCCGTTTTCCACCGAGCCGCTCTTCCGCAGAGGGAGCCCCTCCCCCGCGGGCTCCAGCCCCTGAGATTTCAGGGGGATCTGGCTCGGGTAGGAGGTCTTGCTCACCTCTACCTTGCTTCCCAACTTGAGGTAGCAGGGCTGGGGGCCGGCCCGGGCCGGGGGCACGTGCAGGATGGGCGCAGCGCTGTGCACCGGTTTGGGCAGTCCCGACTTCATTTTGGAGGCGACCAGGATGGCCGGCATCTTCTCCCGGGGCTTCGGTTTTCCCAGCACGTCCCTGGCAGCGGCGGCGGAAGCGACCGCTAAAGGCAGCGCGGGTGGCAGAGCAGGCGCCGGGCCTCCGCCCGCGAGGCGCCCACTATCAGAGGCAAAATACGAAAGTCCGGGGTAGGGGAACTCGGTGGAAGCAGGAGGACGTGCCTTCGGGGAGCCGGGATGAAAGCCGGGAACTGATGATTGAGCTCAGCAGACCCCACCTGGACTGATGCTGCAGCCGGGTTTCTTCACCCCCCTCCTGGGCAGATCGCTCAAGAGCTCTCGGTACTAAGGGGCTGCTGCCTCTGGCAATTTTCCTTCTGGGGAACCGAGGCGTGAATGCCCATATTATCTGGTCACTGCATGTCCGAAGTAAGGAGGTCCGTTTGGAAGGAGAGTGAGGCGGAAACGCACTCCTCTGCGGGTGTGAGCGGGCGAGTAAGGAGCCAGCAGCCGAGGAAGCAGAAGGAGGGCGTAACGAGTCCAAAACGCCTCCACCACAAGGTAGCTGCCACCCTGCTCGCTAGCACCGCAATGTCACCCGCGACGCAGAGGCGCGGGGAGAGCCCCCGAAAGGTCTCAGCGTGACAGTCAGTCACCACTGCCTAGAAGCCCCCCAGACAGACAGCACCTTAGCACCTGCGGATCTGCACATGCTCCGTGCGCTATAGCGCAGCAACGCTGTGGCCGTGGGGCGCGGACTCCGGGACGCGCGGCTGGCGGATAGGGTAAGGTTGCGCTCGCGAGCTGCAGCCGCGCTTCCCGGGAAGGCTGCGCTGGCTACGAGGCTCAGCGCAGGGAAGGACAAGCTGCTGCCGGAGCGGCTGCGGCGCGCGCTGACAGCCCCGGACGACCGGGGGCTCCCATTGGTCCGCGGCGCGCCAATCCGCGGCCGCGATTCTCCCTGCAAAGGGGGTGTGGCCTCAACTCCCGTGGCCACCGCGGAAACTCGGGCCGCGCCTGGCCGCAAGTACAAAGCGGGCTGGTGGCCGCTCTGCGGCACTGCTCTAGCCGCGCGCTTCCCGGAGGGTCAACACTCCCACGTCTCTGGAGCCGCCTTTTGAAAAATGCCTTTTCGAACGCAAACGCCCGCCTTGGGGCCCCGCGGGTACGACGCTGGGGAAGTGTGTTTGCGTTTTCAAATGGCTCAGGTCATCTTAACGGTTTGAGGCTTCCTGAGTCCCGCCCGGGCCTCGCTGCCCCCCAGCGCGCCTGGGTAGGGCCTCACCTCTCCCGCGTAAAGGACGCACGGGCGGTTTCACCTCCGTTCTGCCTGTTCTTCCAGGCGGACCCGGTGGGGGTGGGGGGCTCCCAATAGCTTCCTCTCCAGCTTTCAAAGCCTGCCCATTTCACTCAACTATTTGAAGTATTTATAGGCAAATACAATACCGAGGGAAGCTTCCCGCCCCGAAACAGCTCCTCCTCTCAACCTACTACAGATCTGTAATTAGAGTGGCTGAGGAAGCCTGGAGAAGGCTCCATGACCCCGGTCCAGCTCTACCAGGCTGTTTCATGTAGGAGCCCCTCCCCGCTCCTGTCTTGGACTCACTGGCCCCACAGGTCCCTCTGCTTTCATTCACCAGAGAATTTCGCCCCTCGTCTCAGTCGCTCAGGGTTCCTTGCTGAGTCAAACTATGTGAACATTGGAAAGAAATTGAGGGATGATCCAGGCAGTCCAGAACCCACAGGTTCCCAGCCTCGCGCCTTGTACAACTGCCTGGATTTGATTCAGACAAGTTCTCTAGCCTTATATGCATCCTTATAAAGTCTGGTTTTCATACATAGTAAGGGAGGTTTGAGTGCATTTATCCACTGTGCTGTTGTTTGGATTAAATGAGTTGTCAAGTGCCGTTGAGTTGGTTCCACCGTATAGCAATCCGATATAGGGTTTCCGAGGAGTGGCTGGTGAATTTGAACTGCCGACCTTGCGATTCAAACCTGCTTATCCCATAGAGTTATTACTTGATAATCTTTTAGTACCAGTGCCTGGTCATAGCAACTGTATAGGACAGAGTAGACCTGCCTCATAATTAGTAGCTTCGTGGTTATGAGTTGGTCTAGCATTTTGGACTACCCTCCGGTAAATTTCTAAGCTGGGAAACCCTATGCAGAATCTCTATGAGTCTGTATGGACTCCACGACGCACCACCACCAATCTTTATAGGGGCAGACTGCCAGACCTTTCTCCTATAGAGCAGCCAGTGGGTTCCAACAGAAGAAGGACCTTTCAGATAGCAGTCCAGTGCTTAACCATTGTGTCAGCAGGGTTCCATAGCCTTAGGAAATGATTACCCCTGTTTTAAAATCACTGATACTTTTTACCTAGTCACCTCTTATAAACTCTTTGCTTTTCTATCATCTATTAGATTAAGATTTTTACTGTATATCCACTCCATAGTCTGATTTACATTGTTGAAAGCCTTGATTTTTAATTATCCAGACCACAGGAAAATTCAAAGTGTAAAAAACCACCTCTGTAGCATTAAGCAGTGAAAAGTTGCCTTCTTATCGTGACTTGCTACCTCTCCCACCTTATCTCCCACCCATTCCATCTTGCACTTTTTACTCTAGCTAGACTCCAATGCACAGCCGGGTATATAAACCAGAGTCCTGGCTCATGGTGGTCAAGAGTTTGGCTGCTAACCAAAGTGTCCAGGTCAGAACTCACCATAGCAGAAGGATGTGGCAATCTGTTTCTGTAAAGATTTCAATCTTGAAAACCCTTTGGGGCAGTTCTATCCTGTCTCACAGGGTTACTGTTACTGTTGTTGTTGTTCAGTACTATTGCTATTGTTTGATGTTGATTTCCACTCATACCAGCCCCATGTGACAGAAAACTGGTTCTTTCTCCTGCAGAGCTAATGGGCGTGCTCCAACCATCACCTTTTCTGTTAGCAACCAAGTGCATAATCATTGCACTACCAGGGGACTTTAGACCCCAGACCTAGAAAGACAAAACTCTGAGGGTGAGCTCCAGCCATCTGTGTCTCAACAAGTGTGTAACTCAGTGATCCTCATGCAAACAAAGTCTGAGAACTTCTGTTCCAATGGGACCAGTTCCTAGAGAAGGACATTGTTGTTGTTGTTGTCAGGTGCCATCGAGTCGGAACCGACTCATAGCGACCCCATGCACAGCAGAACAAAACAATGTCCGATCCTGGGCCAACCTCACTATTGACGCCATCAATGACATTATGCTTGGTTAAAGTAATTATGCTTGGTTAAAGAGAAGGACATTATGCTTGGTTAAAGAGAAGGACATTATGCTTGGTTAAAGTAGGAGCGCAGTCAGCCGTAAAAAAAGAGAAGATTCTCATTGCGATGGAGTAACACAGTGGCTGCAACAGTGGGCCCAAGCACAGCAATGATTGTGAGGATGGTGCAGGACTGGGCAGTGTTTTTCTCAGTGTTGTGTGTAGAGTCATTATGAGTTGGAACCAATTCAACAGTACCTAACAACAGCAAATGAATATATCAGATACTTAGTGCTCTTGCAGGATGTCTTAAACCTTACTGTGCACAAGAATCACTAGGGATAGTTTCAAAATACAGATTCTGAGTCAGTAGGCCTGGAATGAGGCTGAGTTTCTGCATTCTCCAGGATGTCCATGCTGGTGGTCTGTAGATGACCACCTTTGAGGGGTCATCTTTGAATAAGTAGTACAGTTAATCCAGAGGCAGCAAAAGGATTTCATTGGTGGTTAACTGACAGTAACTTTCTGTTGAACTGTGCTGACAAGCAGCTATCTAGCTTAATAGGTAATAGCTGCCCGATGAATCAATAATGTCTGCCCTGGGCGCAGAACCCCACATATCTGTTACTTTGTTGTACAGTAGTGCCTTGCACGTAGCTGTGATGCTGGAAGCTAGGCCAGTGGTGTTTCAATTACCAGCAGAGTCTCCCCTAGTAGACAGGATTAAGAGGAGCTTTCAGGCTTAGACTAGGAAGTAGGAATAAGCAGTCCAATTCTGCGGGATTAGCCACTGAGCAGTGAAACATTGTCTAATATAGTGCCAGAAGATGGTTGTAAGGCATTCAGAAAACAGCTGGGGAAGAGCTGCCACCTCAAAAATAAACTTGACCTAATGATGTGGATGGAGCAAAGCTTTGGGGGCCTTCATTTGCTGATGAGGCATGACACAAAATGAGAAGAAATAACTGCAAATGTCCATTAAACATCAGAACCTGGAATGTACAAAGTATGAACCCAGGAAAATTGCAACTTGTCAAAAGTGAAATGGATCAAATAAAATGGATATCCTAGGTACTGGTGGGATAAAAGGAACTAGTATTGGTCATTTTGAATCAAACTATCATATGTTCACTATGCCGGAAATGAGAAATTCCAGGGATGCTGATCTATCTTGAAGTTCAATGGTATCTATGATAGGTGAATATCTATATGCCTACAAGGAAGCCCAGCTAACACAGTTATTAAATTTTTGCACAAACCATGAAAACCAATGAAGAAACTGAAGAATTTTACTAATTTCTTCAGTCTACAATTGATCAAACATGCATTGATAATTACTGGTGATTGGAATGTGAACATTGGAAACAAAGAAGGGGAATTAGTAGTTGGAATATATGGTGTTGGTGATAAAAATGAGATTTCATGATAGAATTTTGTAAGACCAATGACTTCTTTATTGCCAATACTTTTTTTTTAACAACATAAAAGGTGACTATACACATAGACCTTTCCAGATAGAATACACAGGAATCAAATTGACTATATCTGTGGGAATAGACCACGGAGACACTCAATATCCTGAGCCAGAACAAGGCCAGGGGCTGAAGGTGGAATGGACTGTCAACTGCTCCTATGCAAGTTCAGGTTGAAGCTCAAGAAAATTAAAACTAGTCCACAAGAGCCAAAATATGTTCATAAGTATAACACCTGAATTTAGAGACCATCTCAAGAACAGATTTGACTCATTGAACACTAATGACCAGAGACCAGAGGAGTTGTGGGATGACATCAAAAACACATACGTGAAGAAAGCAAAAGGTCATTTAAACATCAAGAAAGAAAGAAAAGATCAAAGTGGGTGTCAAAAGAGACTCTGGAATTTGCTCTTGAATTTAGAGTAGCTACGATGCAAGATAATGCACTGGACCCCCAAGGTCAATTTGACCACAAGGTATGTGGTTCAAACCCACCAGCCACTGCTCAAAAACCCTTCACAGGATTGCTATGAGTTGGAACTGACTCGATGACATTTAACAACAAGAAGAGCAAAGAAAATGGAAGAAAGAATGGAGTAAAAGAGCAGAACAGAGTATTTCAAAGGGCAGCTTGAGAAGACAAAGTCAAGTATTATAATTAAATGTGCAAAGACCTGGAGTT